TTTAAGTGTATTGTGTTAAAGTTCAACTTCTGCCCATTCATTATTAGTATATAACAGTATGTTTTTCTTTTTTGGTATGTGTTGGTCTTATATCCTGTAATCTTCCTCAGTTCAGTTCAGTTACTCAGTCCTGTCCGACTCTTTGTGACCCCTTGGACTGCAGCACGCCAGCTCTATCACCAACTCCCAGAGCTTGCTCAAACTCATGTCCATTGAGTCGTTGATGCCATCCAACCATCTCATTCTCTGTCGTCCCCTTCTCCTCCTGCCTTCGATCTTTCCCAGCATCAGGGTCTTTTGCAGTGACTTAGCTCTTTGCATCAGGTGGCCAAAGTATTGGAGTTTCAGCTTCAACATGAGTCCTTCCAATGAACACTCAGGACTGATCTTCTTTAGGATGGACTGGTTGGATCTCCTTGCAGTCCAGGTGACTCTCAAGAGTCTTCTCCAACACCACAATTTAAAAGCATCAATTCTTCGGCTCTCAGCTTTCTTTATAGTCCAACTCAGAGCCATAACTGACTACTGGAAAAACCATAGCTTTGACTAGACGGACCTTTGTTGGCAAAGTAATGTCTCTGCTTTGTCTAGGTTGGTTATAGCTTTTCTTCCAGGGAGCAAGTGTCTTTTAATTTCGTGGCTGCAGTCACCATCTGCAGTGATTCTGGAGCCCAAGAAAATAAAGTCTATCATTGTTTCCATTGTTTGCCCATCTATTTGCCATGAAGTGATGGGACTGGATGCCATGACCTTAGTTTTTTGAATGTTGAGTTTTAAGCCAGCTTTTTCATTCTCCTCTTTCACTTTCATTAAGAGGTTCTTTAGTTCTTCTTCGCTTTGTGCCATAACGGTAGTGTCATCTGATGTCTGAGGTTATTGATATTACTCCCAGCAGTCTTGATTCCAGCTCGTGCTTCATCCAGTCTGGCATTTTGCATGATGTAGTCTGTATATACATCTTTTGAGGTTTTGAGGTATATACCAGGAGATTTTTTACATGGAAAATTATATCATCTTTCAGTAGGGACTCTCTTATTTCTTACTTTCCAAAGTATGTACCTTTCTTTTTCTTTCTTACATTATCTCTATCTCTAAAACTTCCAGGAACATGTTTAATAGTAGTGGTGAAAGTGAAACTTCCTTGTATTGTCTTCATCTTAAATGGGAAGCATTCAGTCTTTCACCATTAAATATAAGTTTGAGGTCTTTTACTGGTGCTTATTATCAGATTGAGGAAGTTTCCCTCTGTTGCTAGTTTGCTGAAAGTGTTAATCATAAATGAGTTCAATCAAAGAAGCAGAATTACTCAGAGAGTAGTATTCCATTGTACCACATTTTCTCTATCCATACATCTGTTGATGGACATTTAGGTTGCTTCCATGTCTTGGCTATTGTAAACATTGGTGCAGTGAATATTGGGGTGCATGTATCATTCCAGATCATGTTTTTCTTTGGCTCTATGCCCAGAAATTGGATTGCAGGGTCATATGGTAGCTCTATTTTTAGTTTTTTAAGGAACCTCCATTCTTTTCTGAACTGATTTACGTTCCTACCAATAGTGTAGGAGGGTTCCCTTTAGGAGAGAACTATTCTTAAGTGTCTGTAGTAGATCAGACATATCTATGAGTTTTGCATATGCTGATTAATTTGCTTATGACAATAAGCCTATGAAGTTGATGGTATTATTCCCATCAAATATAAAATTTTTACAAATATAGTACTAAGGCCCTGAGTTGTTAAGTTTTGCCCCATATACATGTGTAATGATCCAAGTTAGATATTTAAGCCTAACAATTCTTGTCCCAAGCAACTCATGGTCTAATAACAGGGATAGGTACGTGAATAAATGAGTTATGAAACAGTTTAGTAAGTTACAAAACCATTAAATATGAGCAGTATTGCAATGAAAGATGTTCACCTTTTTGAGAGGAAACATGTTAAAGAGCAAAATAAGTATTATGATCCTGTTATTTTACTCACTGATTCAGAAAACCTATGTTCAGTTTCTACATTGTCTTAGGCACTGTTCTAGGCATTTAGGATACTTCGGTCAACAAAAGAGTGTTCCTTTTTTTTTAATGCAGCTTACAATCTATCACATAGAATAGAATGTAAAAGAGATGGAATTAAATGAGGCAGCTTGGGCTACAGAAACACTTGAATAGAAAGCCACAATGGTAGGTACATTGATCCATAATAAATGTGTAATAACTGGGAGACAGTTCTCTATGTCGCCTTTGTATTTCTGTACATCTTTTGAGCAGAGGCACTGGCTTCTTTGCTCTGGACTGTCTTTACAAGATTTTTTTTTTTTTTTTTTTAGGGAACAGCCTTGGGAGATAGAGCATTCAGTATCTGTGTGAAGCAGAAGGCAGATTTGTTTATTGTCCAAAATAATAAAGATAATGTCTTTTGGGACAAAGGTTAGGTAGATGTGCTTGATATAAGATTTGGGTTTCCTCAGTTCAGGGTACTCCAGCTGTGATTCAAAGCCATTGCATGTGCAGTATCCCCCCAGGCCCCTCTCTACATTGCCATGTGGGAATTGGACAAGAGGAACCATTGATCCTGAAGCTCACTCTGCTAGAGTAGAATGGTTCTTTGCCTCTGAGTGGAGTCTTGTGTCTTCTGCTAGCATCCATAAGATGGTGGCAGGTAACTTGTTAGCTTACAGCTAGGCCAAAGTTCTTGATAATAGGTAATAATTTATTTTTGTTTTAATTTGAGAAGACTCAGTTTTTTAACTTCCAGTTCTTATTTTGTCCTAGGTTTCAGCTTCTGTTTCTCGGTGTAGTGCATTTAATTATCAGAAGAGTTGAGGAGGTTTATACTAGGTTGTTCTCGAAGCCCTTTTTATGGAATGTGTGGACAGTAGTCATTTTGAGCTCCTAAGTCACATATAAAAATATCATTCGGGAGCTGTCTTGTCTCAGGGCACGTTTTTATGTACAGGCTCATGTATGAGAGCTCTTGCTCAAATTACTCACTTCGTCTTCTGTTCTCTTATGTTGCACTGCCATTTCCTCTAGTTGGAAATGGCTAGAGCCATGTTTTCAAACCCAGATGTTTAGAAATTTAGAAAAAAGTTTTTAATACTTTTTTCTTAGCATTTTAATGAATTTTAGTTACCATCATGTTAATTTGAATACTTTATTTCTGAACTCTAAATTTGCAGCTCATTAAGATTACCACAGATGCTGACAGCCAAAGGAAAGATTTCTAAAAATTTTATGTTTACCACAGTTAGCATTTTTTAAAGACATTTTTTGGGACAGATTTGGATAAGGGAAAACAGTAACCATGAAGCAGCGAGCCAGTGGAAAGAGACAGTTACAAATCCAGTAAAGGTTGTTATCAAGTGGCACAAATTAAATCCATCTTGAAGACATTGCACATTAATTCGGTGGTTAACTTTATATTCTTTTCGAAGGCTTACAGTTTTAATTTGCTACCAATTTGAAGAGACAAATCAATACATTTGTCTGTTTATGTAGGCTGTATTATAGACCTGGGTTCATATAAGACCTAGGAAGATTACCCTGGAGAGGGTAACGGCTACCCATTCCAGTATTCTGGCCTGGAGAATTCCATGGTCTGTATAGTCCTTTGGGTTATAAAGAGTCAAACACGACTGGGCAACTTTCACTTCACTATTATAGTATGTAATGGATCTGATAGAAAATTAAACTTGATTAAAAATAGAATGAATCATATCACATATCCAGTGTGAAGGAAATGTTTTAAAACTGGCTGAAATAGACAATAGGGCAACTAAATCAATTATAAAGTCAATGAGAAAAAGAAAAAAAACTGAAAATCAGATGTGGAAAGTTGATTATATATAAAGTATAATGTAATTTGAAAATACTTTGCTGAATATATATAAAGTATAATGTAATTTGTGAAAATACTTTGCTGAATTTCTGCAGGTTGTTTTATTCTAATAAGTTTATTCTAATAAGAACCATACTCCCCTTTTCCCACCTTCCCCACACACAGAATTTTTAACCACATGTTCATCCATTATATAGCCATCTTAACCAGTTATAAACAAGGACTAAGAAAACAGTTTGTCTTCAAGATCTTGGTTTTCACACTGAACACAAGAAAACTGTAGTAGAGAAATCTGTCCCTTGTGACAGTATACAGAGAGCATAGTCAAATTTAATTTTGAAATCTCATCAGCCTGATTTCTTAGCTAATTACCACTCTTTGTCATATATTCAGCTTCTTTTCATTACAGCTTCTGAATAAACATGAAGCTTTTTTGGTCCATTTTTGGTAAAGATGATTCGTTCCTAAAGAAACATGTTTCTGTTTTTCAAAGGAGTAATTTATTCTACTTTTGAAGTATTATAACTGTTCTGCTATTGATGGACAGTGAGGCTGATTTTATTTTTTTCCTGTCACATTTCATCATTGTGAAATGAATTTTAAGTATTTTAGCATTTCTGAAATTGAGATGTGTTTAAAAATAGGTGGAATCTTATAAAACACTGTTTGCCACCCAGTTTAAAATTGAAAACTGTATTACCCACCTCCAATCTTCTTTAAGTCTTTTTCTAGCTGCTTTATTTTTCCTTATACTGTTTTGTGTATTGTCACGTATTGTATATTGTCTTTTGTTAAGCTAACTAGAGTCAGGAAATCTTTTTTATTTTACCATTGTATCCCTAGCTCCTATAACACCACCTGAAATGGAGTAAGCAGGCAGTATATTTGGTGAATGAATGAAGGAAGGGAACATTTGAGTATTTATTGTGGTTCTAGATAATGTGCTAAGCCCTTTATATCCTTGAGTCACTTACTTCTTAACAGTAACCACAGGAGGTAGGCAGATACTCTAGTGAGGAAACTAGGGCTGAGGAGGGGTTAATTTGCCCACTGTCACTCAAGTTAGAGCTTGAATCTAACTCAGGTCAGTTGCTAGGCTCTTAACAGTGTTACACTTTTCTAAGCATTGAGTTGTTTGATTTATTGAGTTCTTTCTTTTTAAACAGGAAGAAGAGAATTTATCCAAAGATTAAAACTTGAAGCAACCTTGAATGTGCATGATGGCTGTGTAAGTAATAGTTAATTCTCAACTGTGGAGAACTGTAATACTAAGTATTCAGATGTTTGAGGAAATGCCCCAATGCTTCCAGAGGAGGTTGGACTAACTGTAATAAAATGGGAGAATTGTTGTACATTAAAACATATGTTGAATTTAGGAAAATATATGGGAGATTTTTTGAAGAATGATGATCAAAAGGCCTTCATCTCTTTCACTGTTGGTGCTGCTTTTGTGAGGGGTCACTAGTGATCTTCATGTCTCCGAATCTATTAGTCACTTTTCAGAAATTTTTTGTTTTAAGTATTTATTTATTTGGCTGTGTTGGATCTTAGTTGCAGCATGTGAGTCTTGCTGCTCTGTGGCATATGGGATCTTAGTTCCCCACCAGGGAGTGAACCCACGTCTCCCTCATTGCAAGGCAGACCCCCAACCACTGAACTTCTAGGAAAGTTCCAAACTTTCCAGAAACTTTTAGACATTCATTGAATACATTTTCCCTTTTGAAGTACTTTTCTCTTGGTTTCTGGTAACACCACACTCTCTTGGATTTCTTTCTATCTCAGTGACTTCTTGGATCTTCTCTATCTTCTTCCCTGACTTCTCTACTTCTCCACCTTCAACTGTTAGACATACCAACACTCTATCTTGGCTTCTCCCACCCTCTCACTTTTCTAAGTGATTCCCATGGCTAGAACACATAACTTCTAATTTTCTACTTCTTCCCAGAACTCAACTTATATATAAAATTATGTACTAAACATTCCGAATTGCATGTCTAGTAGCACCCTGAAATTAATCAGATAAAAATAAAGTCCTTTAAAATTTTTGTTACGAAAACTTGAGTCCTGCTTCTTATATACTCAGCACTTGGATTTAGCAGTTAAGATTTTGGCACATTTTCTATTTCATGTTTTTTCCTTGCTGAATTATTTTAAAGCAAATCTCAGATATATCATTTCACTTTTATATGTAACCTAAAAGTAATGGGCATTTTTTTCTTTTTTTTTTAAGCAGCTTCAGATACCTGAAATTTATTAGCTAATGTTCTGTAAATCTGAATCCATGAAAATTGTGGCTACTGTGGTTCCATTAGTGCTATACAATTATCATAACAGGATCTCCATTTCATTGCTGGTTATTGATGGGTCATTCATTCTCATGTGCTAGAGTAATGGGACATTTTCCCTACATAATCAAAATGGCATTTTATAATTTAATGACTGACAGTATATTTTTGATATCATCTAATATACAGTTCAAAATAAAAATTTCCCCATTGTTTAAAAATATTTTTTTATAGTTGTTTGTTCAAAAGAGGATCCAGGTGACATCCATACTTTGATGGCTGTACCTCTTAAATCCCTATTAGTGTAGAATAATCTTTCCCTTTTTTGTCCCTGCCATTGACTTGTTTTAGAAATGGAGTCAATTTTCCTAAACATTGTCCCTCATACTAAATACTGGTTTATTTCCTTGTGATGTCATTTACTTTGTTTCTATATCCTTTGTGTTGGGCTTCCCTGGTGGCACAGTGGTAAAGTGGTAAAGAATATGTCTGCTAATGCAGACGATGTGGGTTCGATCCCTGATCTGGGAGGATTCTACATGCCACAGAGCAACTAAGCCTGTGTGCCGTGACTACTAAGCTGTTATTTTTTTTTTTTCCTATCTTTGATTGTGGAATAATGTATAAATACAGTTTAGAAGTGTATTATTTATTTTAAAACTCAAAACCATTCTTGAGGGGAATGAATCAAAATGATATATGCTTATGGCAAACTGATGGGAGAAAAAGTGGAAACAGTGTCATATTTCACTTTCTTGGGCTCCAAAATCACTGTGGATGGTGACTGCAGCCACAAAATTAAAAAGATGCTTGCTCCTTGGAAGAAGAGCTGTGACAGACCTAGACTTATCAAGCAGAGATGTCACTTTGCCAACAAAGGTCCGTCTAGTCAAATCTATGGTTTTTCCAGTAGTTATGTATGGATGTGAGAGTTGGACCATAAAGAAGGCTGAGCACCAAAGAAACGATGCTTTCAAACTGTGGGGCTGGAGAAGACTCTTGAGAGCCCCTTGGACTGCAAGGAGATCAAACCAGTCAATCCTAAAGGAAATCATTCCTAAATATTCATTGGAAGGACTGATGCTAAAACTGAAGCTCTAATTCTTTGGCCATCTGATGCGAAGAACTGACTCATTTGGAAAAGATCCTGATGCTGGGAATGGCTGAGGGAAGAGGAGAAGGGGCAACAGAGGAAGAGATAGTTGAATGGTGTCATTGACTCAATGGGCATGAGTTTGAGCAAACTCAGGGAGATAGCAAAAGACAGGAAAGCCTGGCATGCTGCAGTTCATGAGGCTACAAAGACCTGGACACAATTTAGCGACTGAACAACAATGGTTCAAAGTGGAATATAACAAAAAGCAACAGACATATCCTGCACTCCCTTATTTCTTTCTTACCCTCTTAAGCAAACTTTTTTAATCGATTTTTATTTCAGATCTTCTGGTAATTTCTTTCATCTCTGATGCTCTTATCTTTCTTGACTTGCCAACGTTGAGCATTGTCCATTAATTTCTTGCTATTACAGAAGAGAAATTAACTAATTTATAAGACGTAGGCTTCCCCCAAATTTTGTTACTGTTCTCAGTCTCTCTAGTTGTCACTTTAATCGTAAATTACATACTTAAACGTCTTTTTTTTCTGTCATTTGTAGACAGTGTTTCTTGAATCCCGATTCTGTAAAATAGTTATATAAAGCTTTCACCCTTCTTCCACCTTCCTGTCTCTATTTCACATCTCTTTCAGCTATATATAATTCTATATTGTCGATGTTGATCACATTTACTTTGTATTCTGTAGCCATTGTTGTCTTCTGAAATTTATGTATACTTTTTTTTAAAATTTATGTATTCTAAAAGTCAAAATTCAGTTAACAATGTTATACATATGTACATTTCTTTGTTTTTGTTAAAACTCTTCACAATAAGGAGAGAGTAGGAAGAAAATTATATAATATGTCATCTGTTTTATACATGAACATGCTTAACTGCTCAAAACTCCCCAGTGGGTTTCTGGCTTACATATATTTGTTTTAGTCACACTAATCTTTTTGCTGTTTCTTTAAATATACCAAGTACTCCTCTGCCATAGGTATTTTATGTTTCTTACCTAGAACTCTCCTCCTCACATATCTTTAAGCTTACCTCCTCATTTTGTTAGTAGTTCTAAGTGTTACCTAACAGAGATGCTTTCCTTGACCACCCTAAAAGCTCTCCACATTGCATCAATATCTTTCTCTTTTGTTTTTTTACCCCACTGTAGTGACATTATAATCATGCATTTATTTTTTCGTAGTCTAGCCACCTGCCTCCCTCTGCTGCATCACTCTAGACCCGAGATACATCGTCATAAATTTATTTTCTTCGTCTAGTGTCAAGATGAGTGCTTTGCGTATATTTGGTACTTACGAAGTGTTTATTGAAGAGATAAATCATGTGTACATGTTGAATTTTATTTCCTTCTTTAAGAATCTGAGGTCAAATCTTTCTCCTTCCTCAAAGGAGAGTTTCCCAGTGTTGATTTCAAATGGATTCTCCCATACTGTATGACTGCCTTTAAGATTTTCTCAAGTTTTTACAAGCTGTGGATTCTGTACCTTTCCAGTTTGGAATTCACTGTGAGATTTAACTGGGTATACTCAAATATTTTTCTAAGGATGAGTAGAAAGTAAACTTCTCACAAGATTAAATATATCTTTTCTGCTTGCACATTGTTTTTTGTCTGCTTGCACAAAGATTTTTGTCCTATTTTGCATTAATTTTTAAATAGGTAATGCCTTCTCATGGTAGAGTACATCAAGGCTGTTTATTGTCACCCTGATTATTTAACTTATAAGCAGAGTACATCATGAGAAATGCCAGTCTGGATGAAGCACAAGTTGGAATCAAGATTGCTGGGGGAAATACCAGTAACCTCAGATACACAGATTACAGCACCCTTATGGCAGAAAGCGAAGAAGAACTAAAGAGCCTCTTGATGAAAGTGAAAGAGGGGAGTGAAAAAATTGGCTTAAAACTCAGCATTGAGAAAATTAAGATCATGGCATCTGGTCCCATCACTTCATGGCAAATAGATGGGGAAACAATGGAAACAGTGAGAGACTTTTATTTTCTTGGGCTCCAAAATCACTGCAGATGGTGACTGAAGTCATGAAATTAAAAGATGCTTGCTCCTTGGAAGAAAAGCTATGACTGACCTAGACAGCATAGTAAATTAAAAAGCAGAGACATAACCTTGCCAACAAAGGTCCATCTAGTCAAAGTTTTGTTTTTTCCAGTAGTCATGGATGTGAGAGTTGGACTTACAAAGAAAGCTTAGTGCTGAAGAATTGATGCTTTTGAACTGTGGTGTTGGAGAAGACTCTTGAGAGTCCCTTGGACTGCAAGGAGTTCCAGCCAGTCAATCTTAAAGGAAATCAATCCTAAATATTCACTGGAAGGACTGATGCTGAAGCTGAAGCTCCAATACTTTGGCTACCTGATGCGAAGAACTGACTCATTGGAAAAGACCCTGATGGTGGGAAAGATTGAAGGCAGGAGGAGAAGGGGACAACAGAGGATGAGATAGTTGGATGGCATCTCTGACTTGATGGACATAAGTTTGAGCAAGCTCTGGGAGTTGGTGATGGACAGGGAAGCCTGTCATGCTGCAGTCCATGGGCTTGCAAAGAGTTGGCCACAACTGAGTGATTGAATTGAACTTCTCATGGTATAAAAATAAAGTATATATGGCTCCCACTTCTGTTTGTGTCTTCTCCACTTCTTTCTGCTCCCTGAAGCATATAACCACTCGTTTTAGTTTCGTGGATATCCTTTTCCTCTATTTTTTCCCACCTTTATTGTGATATACTTTATATATATCATTAGAATAATTTGATACATATATGTATTTCAAAATGATTGCCACAGTAAGCTTAGTCATCACATTTATCATGTCACGTAAT